ATCAACGCTATCTAACTTAATTAGATTACTACTTCCTGAGTAACGAAATATGGAATATTTGAGATTGGCAAATTGATTATGATATTGACTTTGTGGCATTATAGGTAATTACCTACCGACACCGAATAAGCCCTCAACAAAATAATTGTGTATCCATTGGCGATGAATTGATAATTTAAGAACTTGAATGAAGATGAATGATGAATGAACATGTAGAAATTAGATGATTGTAGGAATTTAAATTGTAATAACAATGCATATAAAATATAATATAAAGAATGTGTATTATAATTTCTATAGTAAGTAAATAAGAGTATGTAAGATAGTAACTGTTTGCTAAAATCATATATCGCAAGTGCACATGTTGCATTCAAGTAATAAAATGAATTTGGAGTCCGAGTCAATCCCTCGAAGAGTGTTTCTTCCAACCACACGCTATTTGATTCAATTTTAACAATAACACGCCCAATTTGATTATGAAAATTAAAGGTGAAAAGAAAATGATTTTTAAGGTTCAATTAAAATATAAAACTATAAAAATGATGAGAATTTGGATTTTAATTGGGTTGGGATTCATGATTCCACTTGACCGTCACTGAATTAATTTCTCAACAAACAAATTAATAAAAATGCCCACTTATCTTGTTAAATTCAATTTTCTTATTTTAGTTAATTATCCCTTTCGAGTGAAATTACCCTTAATCAATTAGTTTAATATACTATATCTCTATGTCAATTAAACACAATCAATAACATTAAATATTTGTGAAAATAATTCCAACGGTTATCTAGGGTTAGGAATATTTCTCTATCGCCCACAAGAATTTAGGGTTTCTACTATCACAGTCTAAAATGTGCAAGACTTTCCCAATAATCGCACAAATTACTTGACATAATCTTAGAATGACCACGATAATCATAATGCACTAAAAGCAATAGGAAAAGCACAAGAATCTAAACATTCATATATTTTCAAGTAAACATAGAAATTAATATAGTTAGGTCAATCTTCCTCATTTATCCCAACATCAAAATGTTTAGCCCATTGTATTTAAAAGGCACAAAGTGAAAATTTTTTGAAGCACATCACAAAAATTGAGAAAATATAATGTGGAAGACAAGATAAAGAAATAAAATTGTCCCTTGGCCGGATTCTTGAAGGTCGCTTAGTTTTGGACTTGATTTCTCCAAGATTTCTCTCCTTTTTGTGATATTTCCTCTCCTTTTGCTTGCCTCCTTTTCTCTCCTAGCTATTTTTTTTAAAAATATGGAAGAAAGAATGGTAGAAAAAGTGTAAATCCATCCCGGCCAAATTGTAAGAAGAGTCCCTAAAAAAATTATAATGTGCATATCGATCATTCTTTTCAAACTCAAGGACGTGCCAGTAGGAAACAAAGCATGCATCTTGGACCTTTGCTTGCCCTCTATTACCCAAAATTAGGGCTTAGGCATGTGCCTGAGGTGCAAGCTTAGGCGTGAGCCTTAGCCCTCTTTTTCCTTTTCTTCAGTTTGGTTCCCAAAGAATTGTACATTTGGTCCTCCAACTTTAATTTCATCCAATTTGATCTTTAAATTTTGAATTTCCTTTCAATCAAGTCCTTCATAATTTGCAACTCGAGTCCTTGAACTTTTTACTTGTACATTTTAGTCACAAAGTCATGATTTTGTCCATTTTTTGGTCCATTTTTCCTTCCTTTAGCCTTCTTCTCCTTCAATTTGGGATTTTAGCATGTAAAAACCACAAGATTCAATAGGTGCAATATCATTCTTTTAAGCACAACAAAACAAAAATGGGGCTTAGATCCCTAACATATGGTCATTACCTAACTTATACTTGGCAAAAGAGACTCCATACAATTGTTCACATGTATAGAATCAACACACTTCTAGATAGTATCTTTCACCGACTCGACTCTCCCCAAACTTATCTCATAATATAGTGAAGTAATAAAGAATAGAATATATATGTAAATAGAAGTTTATGTACAAAATACAACCTAGTTCTTCCAATTAAATTTAATTTTTTTTTTTTTTATCAATCAACCATTTTCACATCTAGACAATAATCAATCATGACTATCGTACTCAAAGTAACATAGGATCTCACATGGACAAGTGAATTTTCATGATTGAGACAAATGGCATGATTGGACATAAATTATGAATTAATAACAATTTTAAACATCACATAAAATCATCAAAAGCCGCCAAGGCTATCTAACATGTCAATACCAACACCAATATAAACACAATATATATACAATATATCATCGGCACCTCCAAATTTAAATTACACATTTTCCTTAATGTGTACAAGAGCAATATAAAATAAGGGAAGGGGCTGACAACACTTTTCCAAATGAATGATCATTGACAAATGCTTGTGATGAATTTTTGGCTCATAACCTTGTATACAATTCACCCCCAAACTTGTTGAGATCCAAAGGTGGCTAGGACTTCAAAACTTTTGACCGAAAAAAATATTATTAACTCAAAAATGTTTTTGTTATTAATCACAGTTAACTATCAAAAAAGTACGATGGTAAGAAAATTGGGCTGCCTCCCAACAAGCGCTTGTTTTAAAGCTCTAGCTCGACTTTAGCACTTTGTCACTTTGGGTTGGCAAGAAAAACGGATGACTTTCGAAAAATCACCTCCAAAGTATGGTTTCAATCATTGTACATAAACTTTGAAGTTTCCATTTTCCTCATGATAAAGTTCAACCACCCCATGTGGAATGATTTTGGCGATGGTGAAAGGACCCAACCATCTTTAGCAGAGCTTTCTAGGAAACAATCGAAGCCTAGAATTGTAGAGAAGAACTTGTTGCGTGATAAGTGTAATTATTGTTAATTTAAATTAATTGATGTTTAATTTTGTATATATTTCATTTGTTAGGTGCATTTTGATGAAAAATGAGGAGATTGACTAAATGAGCAAAAAAATGGCCAAAAAGGATTGAATCCAAAGTTTGTAGACTAAATAGTAAAGTGCTAATAGTTTGTTCGAACCAATACTGATGATTGGTGAAAGTGTTGACTCAATTAGATGAAATTAGAAGCTAAAGGACTAAGGAGACATTAAAAAGAGCTCAAAGGAATGAAGACCGAAATTGAGGGACTAAAGTGCAACAAAAGAAAGAATGTTGAAACGACGGGCGTACACAGGCTTGAAGTGGCGCGTGGGACCTTAGGGTACACTTACCGAGGGACAAACCACAAAGTGGCAAATTTTGGGCTAAATGGCCCAGCTTCCATTTTTGACCTAAATTCTTATGGAAACCAAATTTAACGTACTACTTAAGAGAGAGAAGACGGTGAGAATGGAGAGAACATTATAATACATAATTTTCACCACAAGAAGGAGGCTACCAGGAGATTCTAAGGTGATTAACACGAGAGATTGAAGATTCAAAGTCTGGATTGAAGATTAACGAAGAATAAATTAATTTTTCATATTCCAATCATTATTTTCAATTTCGGGTGATGTTTTTCCAAATCGTTTTGTGTGATTTTCTAAACAATATGTTAGGCTAATTGTTTTCATGTATTGGATGAAGATGAAACCTCTTATTATTTATTTTTAATTCAAAATATGTAGTTTAGTTGAATTCTTACAATTTTTGATTAATCTTGCATGCCTAATTTTAGGGTTAATTACAGTAGAAACCCCAAACCTTTTAAACACTAGCAAACTTTCTTTTAACATTTCATTTGTTGCAGCCGTCATTCCAAACATTTTAAAAAGTTGCATCTGAAGCCGTTTTGAATGTAATCTGTCAAATTTACTGTTAGTTAACCTAAAAAAGTGATTTTGATCAAAAAAATTAATTTTGACCACAGTTCACTCATTTAAAAGGGCAAAATAGTAATTTAATATTTTTTCATAAAATAATGAAAAACTTAAATAAAAAACAAACAAAAAAAGAGGAAAAACTATCTTCTTCTTCTTTCTCATCCCACAACCTCACCCCCACCAATGTCATCGCAGTTCAATTAAAAATGCTTACTTATCATTTAAACTAATTGATTAGAAATTCACTTAATTTCATTAATAATTAGTTCGTTAAAGTATCTAACACTTATTAGTAACAATATTAAAATCGAAGGTAGAAAGTAGATTATAGAATGAGGAAGAGAGTAAGAATTGTTGTGAAAAAAAAATTTAAATGTTATATTGTAAAAATAAAATAATAATAATAATAATAATAATAATAATAATAATAATAATAATAATAATAATAATAAAATAATAATAAAAATGAAGGTGAAAAACAAGGACCCAAGCTCGTGGCTCGCTGAGCCTGCTCATTGGCTTGCCTAATATGAGAGCCAGCCCTCTCGGCTTGGGCTCGAGCTCGAGCTCGTGAGCTGAGCTTTTACAGGCCAACGAGCTGCTCAACCGTTTGTCATCCCTATCCAAACTCCTTTAATCTATGCCCCTATTTGGCTCATATTTTATCTCAAGTCAAAATCAAACAATCAATATTTATCACATCTTTTATAGATGCTACTTTTCAGTCACACATTTTCAAAACTTCTATCAAAATCTACTAGAAATCTAATTTTAGACCTCTTTCAACCAATCCACCAATACTCAATGGAATTTGGGTCAAACTTCAACACTTGACATTCTATTTTAACATTTTTATGACATGAAACAATAGTGAGTTGGCATACACATAGTGATAAGCCCCATGCAATATGGACAATTAAGCAATTTTTATTAATTTAGGAATGTCAAGGTGTGGTTAATTTTGAACTATACTGAATTTAGTGACTTGATTAAAACGAAATATAAGTTTAGTACGGACCCAATTAATATGTTGAAAGTTCAGTGACAGTATATGAAATTCACCCAACCTTAAAGCATGAAAAACGTTTCCTAATATTTTCATGTCGGCCCTGTCAGAAAGAAGGGTTTAACATGTTATTTTACAACCTAAAACACAACAATAAATAGAAGGGCTAAATCCATCTTTTTATCCCAAATATATCACACACATAGTTCATGTACTCTTCAGGTCAATTTCTATAACCAACAGGCATCTATAACTCCCAGCGAACTGGTCCCAAAAATCAAAACCCCTCACCCCCCACACCCACGCCCGCCGGATTCTACCATAAACAATTCAACTTACTGGTCTTAAGAGCTAGGAAAATTCTTGAACACTTGGTGAAATGAACTGCCCAAGAGACTGGCCCGAGCCAATAATCCGAGTCCAATCCTTATCAGACAGTGGCATAACAGCCATTCCTGATAGATATGTCAAAGCGCCATCGGCCAGGCCATCGTTCGACTCGACCACCCATAGTGATGCCAACATCCCTATAATAGACCTTGGAGGCTTAAATGGTGGTGACAACCTAGAATCCATCACGTTAAACAAAGTACACGATGCATGTTTGGAGTGGGGATTTTTCCAGGTGGTGAACCATGGAGTGAGTCCCGACTTGATGGATCGAGCTAGGGAAGTTTGGCGTGAATTTTTTCATCAACCTATGGAGGTTAAACAAGTTTATGGAAACTCACCAAACACTTATGAAGGCTATGGAAGTCGATTAGGAGTCGATAAGGGTGCTATTCTTGACTGGAGTGATTATTACTTCCTTCACTATCTCCCCTACTCATCGAGGGATTATAACAAGTGGCCTGCTCTTCCCACATCCCTCAGGTACGTACTCAGAACCAACTTGATAGGATTACACTGCAAGCTTTTTTGCCTCTTTAATATTGCGTACAGTTTAGGTTACAAAAGCAGCTTGCTTTATGTCGTCTTAGATTCGTTGATCTCATTAACTTATGATAAAATGAAATAGACTCAGAATCCTCCGTTGATACGACCTGCTATTTTTCCATTCATTCCCTTTTAGGATCAGTTGCAGTCTTCCAAACTTCACCGATCATATGGATGAATTTCTCGCTTCATCCATATGTATACAAGATAATATATATACACACACTATTTTATCGCTTACTTTGGTATTCGCACAAGACTCCAAAATAACCCTTATAGAATTTGTTTTTCATTTTGTTGTAATAAACGATCTCATTATAGATCCTTTAGGATGTTGAAATTATACAACCATAACAGAAACATCGACCATAGTCCCTATCCTTATATCTGGTTTACTTGTCAATTTTACTCAGTACGCCTTATATACCTCTTCTGGACGACCTTCTGAACAACTAAGAGATCCATTCGAGAACATAAGGACTAGTTGAAGTAATGAGCCTTCCTGACTCTTCATAAATGTTTAACAATAATAGAGCACAACTTAGACTACTTTCATTGCTTTTAATTATACATGCATGCTTGTTAATGTTCATCTTTTGGTATCAAGGTGCATGATGGTCCGATGTCATTAATTGTTATAAATAAGTCTGCCGGCTAATTACTTTATGTTGATGTAGATTAGGATAATTAGGGAAAGCATAAAAGGCATAAAACATGATTTAGAATCTAGTTTTTATTAAATATTTTATAGTTTAAATTAATTAAGGTTATCATGTCTTGATAAATATAGGGAAGTGATTGACGAATATTCAAAGCAAGTAGTGAGGCTAGGTGGGGTTTTATTAAAAGCTTTGTCCATTAATCTCGGATTGAAAGAAAAATTTCTTCAAAATGCATTTGGTGGAGATGATATTGGAGCTTGTTTGAGAGTTAATTTCTACCCCAAATGTCCCCAACCAGATCTCACTCTTGGCCTCTCCCCACACTCGGATCCTGGTGGAATGACCTTTCTCCTGCCAGATCGCAACGTATCGGGACTCCAGGTTCGCAAAAATGACGGGTGGATTACAGTTAAGCCAGCCCCGCACGCTTTTATTGTTAATATCGGTGATCAGATTCAGGTCTTCACTCTCATCTTTTCGCACTTTTTTTCTGGTTATATTTTAATCTCCTCCGTCAATATATCTATAAAGGGTCATGTTACACATACATCAGAGTATTTATAACGGTGTCCACCTCTTTACATAAAAGAAAACCCAATTTCGATAAAATATAATTTATTCGAAATGAGTTCCTCAACGTGAAGGAATGAACACCATTATGAACACCGCATTATGTACGAGTAGCATTTTTCATATATAAATAATTATATTTATAGTCTCAACTTTTAAATTAAATGATGCAATATAATAGACACTCTGAACAATTCAATGTTTCGCGTTTGTAGGGAAAAGTTGGATTAAAATTCAGGAAACATGGGCACATGGTGGGCCATGTGTTTGATAAACATGTGAACAACATAAAATCAAATGAAAAATGTGCGTTTAAAGAGGCTTCCAGGTAAGAAACTGGAGATAGATAGTTGTCACAATCTGGCCGTCGAAAGACTTTAGAAATGAACTCAAGAGGAATAATAATGGCGTACGTTTTAATATTTCAACCCTAATATAATCATAATTTCAGTTTACACCCTATATTATTCAAAACCTGCTAGAAAATTCGTCATGTTGGAATAGGCTTTAAATCTCTTGGATCAAGTTTGGTATACTCGATCTACGGAATAGAATTCAAGGAGATAAATTTGTGATAAAATAGCAATTTTCTTGTTTAATTGTGTTTAATCTAACGTATCATATATACCGTGGAGAAATTGCATAACACACTTCCTAACTAATTATTGTTTTGGTCTCTTAACTCTGTTCGATTTATGAAAATCAGGTCATGAGCAATGCAATTTACAAGAGTGTTGAACACCAAGTAATTGTGAATTCAAATCAAGAGCGTCTCTCACTTGCCTATTTCTACAATCCCAAGAGTGATTTATTGATTCAACCGGCTACAGAACTTGTGACATTGGACCGACCCCCGTTGTACTCAGCCATGACTTTTGATGAATACAGACTTTATATCAGGACGAAGGGACCTCGAGGCAAATCTCAGTTAGGAGAATCCTTAAAATCTCCAAATGATTAATGATAGAGGCTCTTTTTTGTTGCAAATAAACTTTTATTATATAGTTATTCTTCTTTTACTCGTTAAACTAACAAAATCTTGTGCTAGGATAAAATCCAAGATATGGAAAAACGAAAACGAGTTCAAATTGGACGGTCCACATTCATATGAAATGTTTCATGCGTGATGTAATTGTTCACTTTTGGACCGTCAATCAAGGAAAATTATGAATGGATGATTGCAAGAATTTTCTATAATGTGTGTGGTGGTGGCAGCGGCATCGATTCTATTTGATAATATTTTAGTATTGGAATAATTGAATTCTTGTTTATTGATGATTATTATCACGTTTCTTTGTGGAATTGATGTATTCCTTTTTGTCAATTCACATCTTCTCTTTTTCGGTTGTGCGAAAAATATAATCAACTAAATTACTTTTTATTTACTGATTCGAAAGATGCACAAGTACTACATAATTATTCACTAATTTTTATATCTGTTTATAAATCTCTCGAGCATGCTTTAAGAATCACAAACATGAAATGAATGTAATACAACCCAAAGCAGCTCCAAGTGTCAAGGACTGCAGCTTTACTTAGCCCATTGACACTATCGCAGCCGCAGTTTGCCCAACTTCGACCGCACATTGTAAATATTACTTCAAGTTTGAGTTGTAATTTTTTTTATTGTAATAGTTATTTCAGTTGTAAAATAGCTCTGATATTCGTAAACGTTTAGTATAATTCCTCGTCTTTTAAACGTCTACTCCTGTCATTTAGGTTTTTGTTCAGAATGCTATTATAGAGGATATTAGTCATTCAAAAATCTTTCAAACTCACTGGTGTCCGCCCCTGCACCAGCAATTGTAATTTTCTGCTTTCATCAATTGTAATGTTCAGTTTTCATCAATCGATGTTTAATTTATTTTCAATGTATTCAAATTCTCTATTGTAAGTTTTCTACAAAATTCTAATCAAATTTTCTTTCGTCCCAACGTGACAGAGAAAAGGCGGAAGGTAGTCTAACGGAGCAGACTACTACCGCACTGTGTCCCTTTCTGTGCTAAGAAGAAAGGCACCCCGTGAAAGTTGGTATCAGAGCTGCGGCTCACGACCCTCGATAAGAAAGCTATGGATCCAATTACATCCCACACTACTGAAGTGGTAGAGCCTCAAAAGAAGGGTACCACTAAACAGGGCGTGGATGCGCTTGATGAGACAATTACTAGGTTGTGCTATGCTTGGGAATGTCTCGAGGAAAAAGTCGAGATGGTCGAATCCGAGGTTCATGGATTACACATCCAACTGGATGAAAGCCAAAGGGCTTGAGTAGCAATGACTGAAGCTACTGCGATCATTCCTGATCTGCAAGATGAAATGGACGTGTTGAGAGCTCAATTGCGAGTACTCCAACGTGTGGTGGGCAATGGGCAAGCTCCCGTACCTGAGTATGCTCCTAGACTCAGAATTCCTGAACCGTGTACCTACGGAGGGGCACGTGATGCAAAAGAAGTCGAAAACTTCTTGTTTGATATGGAACAGTACTTTCTCGCAGCTTCGATCGAAGACGAAGCTAGAAAGATAACCACAGCTACCATGTATCTAGGTGGAGATGCAAAACTATGGTGGCGAACCAAATATGCTGATATTCAGGCCTACATGGTTCGAATAGATTCTTGGGATCTCCTCAAGGAAGCGATCAGATCGCAGTTTTTCCCGAAAAATGTCGAGTATCAGACTCGACGGGCACTTCGAGACCTGAAACACACGAGCTCTATCAAGGAGTATGTGAAATCCTTCTCAGGGCATATGCTGAATATTCGAGATATGTCGAAAAAGGATAAACTCTTCACTTTTATGGAAGGGTTGAAATCATGGACACGCACGGAACTTCAAAGACAGAAGGTTACTGATTTGAGCACGGCCATGGGAGTCGCTGAATGCGTGAGCGACTACCAAACAGAATCTAGAAAATATCGACCTTCAAGGAGTAATCAAGCAATTAGAGGTGGTAATAGATCTTATAGACCCAGCTTGAACCCAAATGGGGAAGAGCGTTACTCTCAAAATAGAAAAGGAGCCTATCAAAGTACCCGTGGCTTTCAGGGAAACTATCATAATAGCTGTCAAGGAAATTTTAATGGCAGCAACAGTAACAACTGGAACAAAGGAAAAGCAACAAAGGGCCGAACTGATGCCACTCCCAAATTGAAGTGCTTTTTATGTGAAGGACCTCATCAGGTGTCGGAGTGTCCTTAGAAGCGGATGGTGAATGCATATTGTCAGTTAGCAAGTGGCGGGTCAAGTTCAAAGCAAGAGCCCCGCAGGTTAATTGTCGTAGTGAGACCGACTCTGAAGAGGATGAGGACGTAGTTGGGGCATTTTCACATCGGTCCAACACACTGTCGCATCGGGTTGCTGAAAAGGATAATGTCGCATTGAAAGAGGCAAAGATGGAAGAAGCGAATGCTAGAATTTGTAGGGCTAAAGGCTTAATGTACATTGATGAAAAAATCAATGGGAAGCCAATCAGGGCTATGGTGGATACTGGTGCTACCCACAACTATCTTGCATGTACCGAAGTAGAGCGGCTCAGACTTGTTCTAGAAAAGGGTAGTGGAAAAGTCAAAGTAATCAACTCCGCTGCTCAACCAATAGCTGGAGTGGCGAAATCGGTGTTGATCAAAGTAGGTCCTTTCGAGGGAAGGACAAATTTATTTGCAATTCAGATGGATGATTTCAAGCTTATTCTAGGATTAGAATTTCTTCGGGATACTAAGACAGCAGTGTTGCCATATTCCTATTCGCTAATGATGATGGGTAATAAGCCGTGTGTCATCCCTACACAGGTTAGGAGGATGGGCGAGAAGAGTATCTCAGCCATGTAATTTAGTAAGGGTTTCAAGAAAAATGAACCCTCTTTTTTGTGCACTCTTCGAGTAGAGGAGATCGAGGAGGTGAATGGTCCTATTCCAAAACCCGTTAAAAGGCTTATTCAGGAATTTGAGGATATCATGCCGGAAGAATTACCAAAGAAATTACCACCAAGAAGGATGATTGATCATGATATTGAACTTATTCCAGGCACCAAACCTCCCGTCAGGGCACCATACCGTATGTCTCAACCTGAGCTTGAAGAGCTTAGGAAGCAATTGGGAAAAATGTTAGAGAGTGGAATCATTGTGCCTGCGAAGTCACCATACGGAGCTCCTGTATTGTTTCAGAAAAAGGCTGATAGTTCTCTTAGAATGTGCTGCGACTATCAAGCCTTGAACAAGATTACTGTAAAGAATAGCTATCACATCCCACTGGTTGCGGATTGCTTCAATCGACTAAGTCGGGCGAAGTATTACACAAAAATTGATCTTAGGTCTGGATACTGGCAAGTTCGGATCAAGGACAGAGATGAAGCAAAGATTACGGTGGTAACCAGATATGGAGCCTTTGAATTTAAAGTGATGCCTTTTGGTTTGACAAACGCTCCAGCAACATTTTGTACTATGATGAATCAGGTACTTCACGGGTTCTTAGATGATTTTGTCGTGGTGTATTTGGATGACATAGTAATCTACAGCGAGACATTGGAGGAACATGTCCAGTATGTGAGGCAAGTTTTTAATCGGCTACAGGAGAATGAACTTTATGCGAAGCCGTCTAAATGCTCATTTGCTCAGACGTCCATCAGTTTCTTGGATCATATCATTGAACAAGGTAAAATCCGCATGGATTCGAAGAAGGTTACAGGCCATCAAAGATTGGCAACCACCAAAAATCGTACATGATGTACGTTCATTTCTTGGGTTATGCAATTATTATCGAAGATTTGTGAAAGGTTACTTAGAAATTGCATTGCCACTTACTGAATTGACAAAGAAGGATAAGGATTGGGATTGATCATCCCAATGCCAAGCTGCTTTTGAAAGGTTGAAGAAGTCCATGTAGAAGAACCCGGTTTTAGCCTTATCGAATATGCCTAAACCATTTGAAGTTCATACAGATGCTTCAGATTTTGCACTTGGTGGAGTACTCATGCAAGAAGGACATCCGGTAGCATATAAGAGCCGGAAGTTAAACCGGACAAAACGTCGTTGCTCGGCACATGAAAAGGAATTGTTGGCAGTAGTCCACTGTCTTAGAGGATGGCGTCACTATCTGCTTGGGTCTCCATTTATTGTGAAGACAGATAACACTGCAGTTAGTCACTTCATGTCCCAACCAAAACTATCGAGCAAACAGGCTCGTTGGCAGGAATTCCTTTCAGAGTTCAATTTTATGTTAGAGTATCGTCCTGGCTCTAGTAATCATGTTGTTGATGCTCTTAGTCGGCGGGCCGATTTAGCTGCCATCTGCTCCGTAGCTGCTCTTTCAGGGAGCGCAGTCTCCACAAACACTAAAGACCAAATTCGGGCATTTATGGAGAAGAACCTGGCTACCTAATATTTGGTCGACCTCATCAGGCAGGGTAAAACTCGACAGTTCTGGCTCGATGGGAAACTAGTGAAGACAAAGGGAGACCGCCTATATATTTCTAAGGGCAGAGATCTGAGGAAATCACTAATCACAAAATACCCTGACACAATTTGGGTAGGGCATCCCGGAGAGGAACGCACTTGTGCACTACTGCAACGTACATACTACTGGCCTCAAATGCGGGACGACATTGCAACATATGTAAAAACCTGTCTTATTTGTCAGCAAGATAAGGTAGATCATTAGAAAAAGGTGGGCTTGCTGGAGCCCCTTTCCGTCCTAACCCGACCATTCGAAAGTGTATCGATGGACTTATTGGGTTGTCAAAAGTTGAGGATTTTGGCACTATCATTGTCGTGGTGGACCGTCTATCAAAATATGCAACTTTCATTGCAGCGCCTAAGTATGTATCTACGGAAGAGACAACTCAACTCTTCTTCAAACATATTGTCAAATACTGGGGCTGCCTAGGGACATCGTCAGTGATCGAGATCCTCGTTTCATTGGCATATTTTGGACTGAGTTGTTCAAACTTCTTGGTTCAACTTTGAGCATGAGTTCTAGTTTTCACCCACAATCTGACGAACAGACGGAGCGCTTCAATTCGCAAAAAAACTGGGTAAAACTTTTGGATGCGGCCCAAATTTGTTTCAATGCCCAAAAGAGCTCTTCTACCAATAAGAGTCCCTTTGAGATTGTTACTGGCCAGCAAACGCTACTCCCTCATACAGTGGATATCGAACGAAGTACCAAATCCCCTCAAGCAAAGAACTTTTCTCAAGAGTGGAAACGAAATATTGAAATTGCTCAGAGTTATCTTGGGAAAGCTCAAAAACAGTATAAAAAG